GTGCCCAGGGGCAGGGGGGAGCTGTGCCCAGCCCGGTGGGCAGCACTCACTTGGGCGGGATGTTCTCCGGCCGGCTGGACCAGTCCCACATCCAGTCTGCATTCTTCCTCAGCAGCCTCTCCACCTCTCTCCTCCGTTCCAGGAAATCTTCTTCAGACTGCAAGAGAGAGCCCGTGACAAACTGCACAGCGGGCAGAAGTCGGGGCTGAACACGGCTCCTGGGGGACAAGGGCTGGGCCACCCCAGAACCTCACTGCTCCCACCTCCTCCCACTGCAGACTGGCACTGCACTGAGGCCAGGGGAGGAGGGGGGTGAGTTTCCAGAGTGGGATGTGAAGGGAGGAGAACACACCCCACATCTCCACCCCGTTTCCACGTCCCCTATTTGCCCAAGGAAAGACCACCCTGGAATTACAACGCTGATCCCTGTGTTTAATCCATGTGGGCAGGGTCTGGCAGAGCACACACCTCTGATGGGCTTCCTGCCTGCATTCCAGGCCAGAGGGTGATCTCCCACCTGCCTGAAGATCCCTGGTGGAGCCAGTGAAGCCATGTGACACCAGCTCCAGCCTCCTAAAGCCACCTGCCCTTGGGCCAGCGCTGGGACCCAGGTGAGGTGAGCCCAGCTCTACCTGCACACAGCCGGGCAGAAAAAGCCACCCAAGCAAACAGTGGCCCTGAACTGCAGCAAAACACTGAGCAAGATACAGCAAAACACTGAGCAAGAATACAGCAAAACACTGAGCAAGAATACAGCAAAACACTGAGCAAGATACAGCAAAACACTGAGCAAGATTACAGAAAAACACTGACAACATATAGAACGCAAAACACTGAGCAAGAATACAGCAAAACACTGAGCAAGAATACAGCAAAACACTGAGCAAGAATACAGCTTCCTGCTTGATTCCTCTGCATTAAATGGAGCCAAAGTCTTGGGATAAAAATACCAACTGGTCTTGGAATGGCAGCAGCTACCTGTGCACAAATACACACCTGGGGAAGAGAGGAGCCCCCGGGTGACAGCACCCAGCACACACTCAGCTGCAGAGCATACACCACAGTCCCTGGAAAGGGAAGTGGTGGAAGACAGCTCTGGGGTGGGGTTTGGTTTTGGTTAGTTGGTTTTTTGAAGTAAAAACACAAAGGTCCTGGGTTCTTACTAGAATTAAACCATTACCACTGCACAGAGGAGCACGAGGAGCTTGGTGCTGCTGACTTGGGCCAGTCTCTTGTACATTTGTGTGTTTTCACACAGAGGCTCCAAGTGAAATATAATCTTGATTTCCTCTTGCTAACGCTGTAAGAATTAGTCAAGGGCACAGAACATATTCCAATCCAACAAGAAAATAGCATCCCTCTGCCTGAGAGCAGTGCAGGGAGAGCCACGTGCCCACGGTAACACCACAAGGCTTTGGCACTTCAGTGCTTCCAATATTTCACTCCTCAAAATGTTTTAAGTGCATTTTTTTCCATATTAAAGGAGTTTCCAATTCCAGTGAAGCTTTAAGCTTTTAGCCTGTCATCCTGCAGTGAGCTATATCCTGGTGAAACATGGTAACTCTACAGCATCCTTCCCCCACTCTCTTCTCCAGTGCATTTACTCATTTTCTCTGCAAGCCTGCAACCAACGACACAAAATGCGCTGACAGAGTCCTCAACAGCTTTTTTAGCCACGTGGAGGGACGTAACCCACTGGTGGTGTGAATGAGCTGGAATCACACAGCCCTGGAAGCACTTGGAAGATGTCCACTCTTGGCTGCCACGTTTTAAGTGACCCCAGAAATTCGTGGTGCCAGATTCCCCCACAGCTCACGGTGGGAGTGCATTTAAACAGCATTTCCCTGGGGGGACACAGAGCAGGCCGAGCTGACAGAGGGGGCAGAGGGAGCTCTGCACTCCTCTTCACCTCCCACCCCTCCCCACGCCCCTCAGCCCCATCACCTCACGACCTGCTCAGCTCCCACCACACCAGAGCTGCTGAGTGGAGAGCAGGAACTGCTGCAGCACAGGAGAGGTGAGACCAGGCACAGAACGTGCCTCAGGATCTCCAGAGGCTGGAGGAGTAGCAAGGTGCTGGCCCCAGCTCTCCCGAACCCTGCACTAGTGGTTATCTTCCGGATTACCTTTTCTCCTGAAAGCTACTTGTAGGACCTGAAGGTTGGCCCACTGTGGCTGGGAAGGGGCACTTTGAGAACCCAGCCATTGAAAGGAAATGGTTTAGGGCACTGAAATCCTTCTGAAAAATCTATGGTTACAGATTAACAAAAAAATTGAATCCATGAGAGTCAGACAGAAAACCACAAGGCACAATTCTGCCAAGATCATCCTAAGTCACCAAGCTGTTTCAGTCTCTGCCTCAGCACCTTGACCCCTTATTTCCTGATGCTGTTTTTCAAACAACAAGAGTAAGAGATTCCCACAAAGCACGGTGAGGTTTTTACCTGACAGCTATTCTTCTCCCCACTGCTGTGACTCTCTGCTTCCAAAGCTCTGTGACTGTCCTGAGGTGTCTGGGAACGAGGAGGGCTGCAGAAAGAGAAGTGCAAGTTAAAAAAAGAACATGTTAAACTTTTCACGACGTTGTTTATGGTGTGCACTAGGAGGTGGTCAGTGAAGCTTATAAGCAGAGTTCTCCCTGACTGTAACTTTAGAGATGAAGCTGTCAGCAGGTGGCATCTCCAGCCATCCTGCTCCTCTCTGATTTCCTAGCATCTGCCACCAGGCTTGCTGCTCAGGGATGGGTCAGTGGTGTGGGTCTGCAGGATTTGGCCCCTGTTACTTCAGTAAACAACAACAGGCAGCAAACAACAAATAAGAGTGGGGTTTGGTTTGAAATCCAACCAGCCAGATAAGACCAGGACGTTCTGCATCCTGCTGCTGCTTTGGTTCCCTGTATTTTTTCTCTTCTTCAGTACACCTCAGGATGAACATTTTACTGCCCACTGAAATCAGATAAATGAATGAGTAACAGAGATGGACACTTTGCATTGGGTGAGAGCTGCTCTGTTGTGTCATGCCCCTGGTTTGGATCTGTAACCCAGGGACAGGATGATTCTTGAGCTATCACCCCAGAGCGACCAGCCAGGCAGCAGTGCCAGGGGCACCACGTGCTCTCCTGCATGGCACCAGCACCGGGCACGAGCTTCCAGTGACAGCCCCGCAGGCTCTGGGCTGCTGCTGCTCAAACCCTGCCCCAGGGGACCCCAAACGGCACCTTCGTGGGCTGGGAGAGCTCTTCCAGAGCCCTCTCTCCTGGAGCTCCTTTCTGCATTCAGGCTCCCCCCAGGCATTCCCCTGGTACTCCTACACGTGTGCTTTGAGCAGGGTGCTGTGTGTGTTAGCACGGGCACACACGAACACACACACAGGGCCGTGTCCTGCCCCCCGTGCCCTGCCCCCCGTGCCCCCGGGTGGCTCCTGGGTGCGTGGCCCTCGCTGTGCTGGCCGGAGCACCGCTCACCTGTCGCAGTGGGAGCTCTCCCTGGAGCTGCTGCGCCCCGACTCGTGCTGGGCGTCCAGCAGGATCTTCTCCATGTCGCCGTTGTGGATGGA